GTCGTACTGCTCCGCCAGGAGCCGGAACCTGGTGTCGATGTTGTAGGAAATGTTGTAATTCCCGGCGATCCCCTGGAGACGCAGCAGTGTCACCTCCTGAAACCGACGAAACTGCAAAACACCCAGAACCCTGAATGATTCCCAGCACTTAGCTCAGGGATTGTTTCTTGGCAGGGCTGCCGAACTCTGGCAAATCAACCCTCCACAACCCCAGGGACTTACGCAACCCTTGGACCACTGGGGAAACTGACACACAAGCATTAAGGGCTAAACTTTCACAAGGGGCCTCTAATTGTGGTTGCTTTGGTTGTGGTCAGCTCCCACTGACTGCAGATTGGAACCACCCCCAAGGGGTCTCACACTGAGCACCCTCACCCAGAGGCACCCCAAATCTGATGCCACTTTTGTAACTCAGGGCCAGAATCTAGGGCCGAAGGCCCCCCAGTGTGGCAGTAGCAGAGTTGGGCCTGGAATCCGGCCCTTATCTACATAACCAGACCTCTCCAGCTGAAATTCAGCCATTGGGTGAGCCATGTGCCACGGAGTCTAGAGAAACCAGGTATTGCCTTCACACAGGACTGCCTGCTGGAAAATGCAAAATAATATCAAAATGCTCCGTAACTCAGGTCTGCATTGCCCTTTATAGCTCGCAGGCCGCTAACCCAGACACTTCCCAGGAACTCAGCCCGCTCTCTGACTGGGGACTCTCTCCTGCCCTCGCTGGAGACTGGATTTGATGACCTAGTCAGTGTTCTCCCATTTCTAGTTTTTGGGACGCTACATACATGTGATCCATGCACACATCGTAGAAACTGGATCATTTACACTTTGGTCACTGCAACCCTGACTCTTTGCTCATGCGATCCCCTGGACTCCCCAACATACCAAGCCCAGGGGGTCCCCAGCCAAATCTTCACAGGACAGAGACATTTCTCCCTGCAGTCCTGTCCTTTGATAACTCACAAAGGGGGCCTGGGTCTGCTGTGCAAATCAGTGAGCCCGTGCCCTCTTGTCGGCACTTTCCTCAGCAGAGAGCAACAGCATTCAAAAGTGAACCCCTAAAGCTTGACCCCTTGATCTAAAGTTAAACACCTCAAGAAACAGTCTGATCTGCAGCAGTGCCAAGCAGCCAGCAGCTCCCAAAGATCTAGCTGGGAAAACGCTGGCTGTGTATCTCTAATGGTATCACACAGACTCATGTGTCTGCACAGACATTACAGTCTCCTCTAGGGAACAGAGAGTCAAGACTCAGGCAAACTCCAGGCAAAGGGAAGGGAAGTTTGGCTTGAGTAAAAACCGTGTAAGTAAAGGGTGTTGATGTTCTGTATATTCCACATGCGGCTCTTTTACAGTTAAAGTGCGGCTTGCAGAGTCCCCCCTCACACTTCCCCATTCTCTGCCTACCACACTGACGGTGGTGGTGGGGAGCGCAGGGTTTCTGCCCTGTGGCAGGCAGGGCCGGCTCTAACTTTTTTGCCACCCCAAGCAGCAAAAAAAAGCGTCGTCCCGCCGTAACACCCCCCCCAGTGCCGCCCCGCCGAAACACCCCCCACCGAGTGCCGTGCCGCCGAACCCCCCACACACCGAGCGCAGCACCGCTGAACAGCCCCCGCTCCCCGCCACGCTGCTGAACACCGTCCGCCGAGCTGCTGAACCCCCCCCGCGCGGAGCACCACCGAACACCCCCTGCTGAGCACCACGCTGCCAAACACCCCCGCCCCCCGCGGAGCGCTGTGCTGCCGAAACCCGCACTGAGCGCTGCGCCACTGAACATCCCCGAGCGCTGCGCTGCCGAACACCCTCACCCCCCGCCGAGTGCCGCACTGCCGAAGCCCCTGCCCCCACGCGGAGCGCCGCCGAAACCCCCGCGGAGTGCCGCGCTGCCGAACACTCCTGCCCCCTGTGGAGTGCCGCGCTGCCGAAC